CCTACGAATGCCCCCCACCCTGCGCCTCTGCGCCCCTGCCCCCTGGTGGCTCGATTCCGCTTGGCGGCGTCCCCGCATCCTCGTTTTTCTATGCAAACATCCTCGCCCTTATCCTCACCCGTGTCACAGGACAAGCAGTACCCGCGCGACTGGTGGCTCTCGCGGGGGCGGCTGAGGGTGCAGCTCTTCAACGCGGATGGCACCCCCACCAACCCCGAGGTGCCAACACGTGAGCCGCTGCGCACAATCTCAGGCGCACCACGTTGCGGCGCGGGGGTGTGTGGCCCTTGTGCATGCAGAGCGTGCTCGGTTGCATAGTTATGGGCGCCTGTGCTGGGCCGTGGGGCGCGGGTTTGTTGGGCGGATTATTGTTTGGCTGAATTCGATTGACAGCAGATTGTTACATGTAGCCCTTATCAGCAGGCATGTTGACCAAAAACGCTGCAATCGCGTCGCCCTGGTGTCTCTGATGTCAGGCACTCATCATCGATCATTTGCGCAACCCCGTTCATACCAACAACACATCGGTCCAGGCCGCGAAATGCTGCTGCGCGTCGCGGAGTTGGTGCCGAAGCACCCCGGCCGCCACAAGAAGCCGGGCGCAAAGGCCGACGGCGCCGGCGGCAGCGGCGTGAGCAGCAGCGGCGGCACGGCGGCGGCGGGCAGCAAACAGTCTGCGAAAAAGGGCAAGAAGAAGAAGTAGTGCGGACGCGCGGGCGCTGGCGCGTCGTGCTGGCGACAATGTTGAAGCTGCTGCGGATAGGTTCATAGTCGCGACGATGGGTGGTGTACGGGGCTTGCTGTATCATCAACGCGCCGCGCCGCGCCGGTCGGCGCCGCTGCCTGCACCACAGCGGTGTGCAAGGCGGCAGGCGCGTCATGCCGGTGTCGCACGGCGGCCGGGCGCTCGGCCCGCGGCTCGCGGGGGTTGCGGCGCCGCTCGACGCCAAAAGTTGCGTCTCGCAGCAGTCACAAACCCCCGGTCACGTGCATGCGGGCGCGCGCCCGGGCTTTAGCGACAGCTGCAGGCACTGCAGGCGGCGGTTGTAATATGCAAGGCGCTGGCTTTGCGTTGGGTATGTGCCAGCGACACAGCGAAAATGCAGGATTGACAACGCAACCTGTGATGCAAGCCGGGCAGGTTCATGAGCTGGACGCCGCGACTGCGGCTGCGGCCGACTCTGTGGGTACGGCACCTGGCTCGCCTCAGGCTGTAGCGACGGGCTGGGCATCAGTGGCGGCGGCGCTGGCCGCAGTGGGCTCTGCGGCGGCCGCCGCGACAGGGTCAGCAGCTGCTACTGCGGCTGGCTGAGCAACGGCTGCGGCGGCGGGGTCAGCAGCGGGCTGGGCCGGGGCCGCTGGGGCGGGCTCTGCGACGGCAACAGGCTGTGCCGCAGCGGCAGGCTCTGCCGCGGGGGCGGCGGGCTCTGCCGCGGTGGCCGCACCGGCGACAGCCGGGGCAGACGGCACCCGCTTCGCGGCCTCCGCCGCCGCGGACTCCGCCGACTGGCCGCTGGGCGGGGGCGCCAGCGACACGCGCATCTCGCATTTGTATGCGGCCGCCACGCCCGACACGACCGTCGCGGCCTTCTTGGCCAGATCCTCCGCCGCCGTGACGCGCTCCGCCAGCGCCGCCTCTGACACGGGGCCAGCCGCGGCCTGGTTGCAATGGGTGGGGAAAGCGGCAAGCTTTCAGGCGCCGAAGCATCACTTTGGCGGGCAGAAAGACGCGGGAGTGGACCCAGTTCTGCAAGCCGCGGCGCGCAACGCGGCGTCAAGCAGACTGCGCGCCTGCAGCGCTGGGCAACGCGCCAGGTGCAAAACAGCTGGTCAAACTCCCGCCAGCGGCGGCGGCGACGGCGGCGGGGACGGCGCACCTCGTTGCGGGCCTGCGCATCGCGAAGCGTGGTGAGGACGGCCTCGTACTTTGCCGGCAGCTCCCGCGACACCCAGGGGTGGGCGCGCACCTGCAGGGGGCCCGGGGGCGGCCGGGGGTGTCACAGTGCGTCGCAGCGGGACGGCGGGCGTGGGGAAGGGGGCCCGCACATGTGAGCGCCAGCAGAACTGAGGCCTGGTCTCACAGGGGCCTGGCAGGGCGGCCGCAGCAGGTCTGCCGCAGCGCTCCTCGGCTGCGCCGCGCACACCACATCTGGCACTGGGCAGCCGGGGACCTTTCCCAAACAGCGCCGCTCCTAAGAAGAATCTGATCCGCCAGACGTGAATCCGAAGGCAAAGCCCCGCGCACCTGGTCCAGCGTCGGCCTCTTTGCGTCGTCAGCATCCAGCATCAGGTCCAGCAGCCCCTTGAGCCCGTCGCTGAGCCGCTCCGCCTTGCTCGTCGCCTCGCGCCACTTGACGCCCTCCACGCCCTCCAGCCGCCACAGGTGGCGCATGGCCTCGAGGGGCGGCAGGCGGGCGGCGTAGCGGTCGTACTCCCAGGGCATGTGGCGCAGCATCAGCACGCACAGCATGACGCCTGGGGTGGGAGGCGGGAGAGGTGGGGGTTGGGTGCGTTGCTCCCAGGGCGTACGGCGCAACAGCGTCTCAAAGCCCAGGGACGCATTTGAAATCGCAGGATGCACTGCGTAAGGCTCAGGCCGTTCAGGATAGGAGGACGTTTGTGAAAAAGTTTGGGTTCAAGACAACTTGTGAGCCGCCTTGGAGGCAAGTGCAAATCCTCGCTATACGGGCAGTGGTCCCTGGTGATGTCAGCTACCGTCAGTGCAGCGGATGACGGCTGCACGGCCCCAGTGCGTGTCGCGCGGCGCCCATGAACACTAAACTGAGCCGCGACCCCCTTCCACCTCCCGCAGCCGCCCCGCCTGACCTGCGCTGTAAATGTCTGCGCGCGTGCCGTCGTAGTTTGTGGCGTTGTTGAGGTCGAAGAAGCCGCCCATAATCTCGGGGGGCATGTAACCAGGCGTGCCGGCGAGCGTCTTGAATGTTGAGAATGCGGTGAGAGGGATACACACGTTGAGGGCACAGGCAGGCCGTTTCAGCGAGGGTGTTTGGGGGGTGCAAAGGCGGCTGGGACGCGAGCTGGCACGAGGCAACTCGAAGACCAACCAGCCAGCGCCCGGCGTCAGGCATGTGTCCCGGCCAAGACGTGCAGTAACTTGCTCGCGAAGTGCCTTGACCCAGCACAGCAGGCAGCCAGTGGCGACGCCGTTAGGTGCAAGTGAGCAGCAGTCGGCCAGGACGCGATGTGTGTTTTGGATAGCTCACCTCAAACACGGGCTCGCCCCTGCCCTCCCATGTCTCAGACAGCCCAAAATCTGCGTCAAGCGTGGGTGTGCAAGAAGACAAACAAGTGCATGCGCGTTTATGTGGTATGTGTGTGTATACGTGTGCGCGCAGGGCAAGCTTGTGCGTGCACCTGCGCATGTGCGCGCGTGCGCGTACGTGTCGACGTGAGCCATCAAGACAAAGGGGATGCAGGAGCCAGGGCCGCGTAGAGCTGCGGCACCCACTCCGATCACTGCGGCAGCCAGCCCCAGCCCCCCCATCACCCGCCAGCTTGAGCACCGGCGGCCAGGCGGGCCCCGTCAGCATGCAGTTGGCCGGCTTGATGTCACGATAGGCCACCTGGCGCGTGGGACGAAGCAGGCCGAGGGGTACGGACGACGATTTGGGGACGACGGGTCGAGGAAGGGAATGCCGAGGTTACAGATCCACCCCTCCAAACGCTGCGGCCGGATTTTGTCGCTGTCTGCCCCTTCCCGCGCTGCGCTGCAGGCCAGATGCATGTGTGCGATGTTTCAACGTCGAAGAATGGCCCAAGCGGTCCGCCACGAGGCCCGCTGGCCCACCTTGTGCTTGTGGCAGTAGGCGATCGCCTCCAGCAGCTGCCTGAACAGGTAGCACGCCAGGTCCTCGTCCATCTTTGACTTTTTCAGAAAGTCGCTGACGCTGCCGCCCTGGACGAACTCGTTGACAAAGGCGACGTGGCGCCCGGTCAGCACGACCTCGATGGGGCGGACGATGTTGACGTGGCCGTTGCCGAGGCGGGCCATCATGCGGGCCTGTGGGGGTTGGGGGTGGCAGGGGGAGATGGTGTTGAGTGTGTAGGGGGAGTCGTGCGTGTGGCCATTATGCAGGTTTGGGGTGCATGCGCAAGCACGCATGTGTGTGCGTGCGTTCATGTATTTATGTACCGCTTCTTGAGAGATGGGGATCACAGCGCAAACAAGATGCGTTTTTGGCGTGTTTAAGCGTGTCCGGGCACAAGCCGACGGGCCATCGGGGGTCTGTAGGGCTTGCAAGGGTGCAAAGCCAGGCCACCCCTCCGCCGGCCCGGAGCACGCGCAAGGGCCCCTGCAGTACAGGCCTGTTGCGCGCACACTCGCGCCCTGGGTGAACGATTACGGGGGCGCGGGGCTGGACTGAGGTGGAGGTGTGCCATCAGAAGCGCCCCTCACCTCGCGGCCGACCATGGTGAGTCGCCACGCGGGCGGGCCGCGCGGCACGAGCTGCGGTAACAGCAGGCGGGGCCCGGGGGCCAGGAACGGGGGCGGCTGTTTGAACGGCGAATCAAACGAGGCGTGCCGAGGTGCCTGCCGGGCGTGCAGCAGTGCGCTGGGCAGCTCTGGGTGAGGGACAACGGCTTGGCCAGGTGCGTGATGCGACGGGCGGCAGCGCAAAGGTGCGCGGCTGGGGACCTGGCGAGCTGGCAACACAGTCGCCCGGAAGCCGACCTCGCCGGGACCCGCGCACGGCAGCCGCGGCCGTCGCATGGGGCGGGCCGCCATTAGGCTTGCGCCAGTGAGACCCGCTGCTTCCAGCAGCAAACCACGCGGCGTGAAATGCGCGGTCGCCCCCCGCCCCCCACCTTCACGGCGACGAGGCGGTTGGTCTTGCTGTCTACCGCGAGCCACACGTCTCCTTGAGTGCCCTTGCCCAACCGCTTGATAAAGCTGTAGTTGCTTGGGAGGCCCAGGCCTGACAGGCGGGGCGGCGGGGCGGTCCGCGCGGAAGGAGTGGGGCAAGGCGGGCCCATCCGCGCCGAGGGGACACGGGCGCAGGCAGCGGCGGCGGGCCGACCGGCCGGCGGCCGACGGCGTGGAAAGCGGCGCTGCAGAGACGAAACAGGGGCTTACTGTGGCCGAAAAATCTCAGGACGTTGGAAAGGGTGTCCATGGCTTGCTCGGGTCACTTGGCGGCAAGGGATGATGCCAAAGATTCCCGTGGCGAGGGGCAGGAAGGGCGCGCGGCGCGTGCGAAGGCGGCGATGCGGGCGAGCGCTGTGTGGGTGCGCGCTGTGCCGGTCGGTAGCTACTCTTCAATCAACGGCGCTAGTGTGCCCTAGGTGGCCGGTTCAACATGCCAGGTGGCTGGAAGCGCGACACACAACGCGCGGGTGTCGTCGGAACTTGGTCCAGGGCAACACGAGACACCGAATCAATTCAAATATGAAGGTCTACGGAATGAGCGCAAATCAAGCCTTATGATACTTGATGGGGCTTCGTGAAAATGCCATGCACTGACTCAATGGATATGTAAGCCTTGTTCGGAAGCGGGTACGATACATTGCTACATGAACGATAAATCATTGAAACCCAACGTTCTCCTGCTCGTTCCCTGCCTTTTTGCGATCTGATCTACAAAGCAAAGCACGCGCGGCAGGCGCGGGCAGATGGCGGACGATGACTACGCACCTGAGGCGCTGGAAGATGGAGATAACGAGGATAAGGATGACTTCAAGGTGGGCGGGTTGAGCGGGAATCACACCAACTTGCGATTTGTGCGCCGGTTTTCGGCTGTCGCCGCTTTTGCGCGTGCACGTGTCTATCCTCATCCCGCACCCTGCTGCTGCGCAACCTCCTGCAGTACGAGCCCTCAAAGCATGCTATCATCGCGCTGATCGATGCCAACCCCGCCATGCTGGAGGCGGCCCCTGAGCCGATGGAAGAGGTGAGCGACATGCATTGCCCGACATACAGCAGAGCACAGCGCCAGGCGAACGGCGCATGGCGGCGCGTCCTGCCCCTGCACGTGCAAGGTGCTGCCGCTCGCATGCGCATCGGTCTCAGCATGCGCCCGCGGCGCGCGAGGAGCGCTCATTGTGCAGCTGGCTGCCTGGGCAGCGGGGCCTACTGCCTGCCCCTGACCCGCGCCACCGTTGCAGGACGATGAGGAGGAGGAGGGCGGCCGGCAAGCGCCGCGCAGCTTCCTGACGGTCGCCGTCGACGCGGTCAGAAGGCTCATGAAGTGGCGCATCATGCACGCGCCCAACGACGAGATCGGGGTCATGTTCTATGGCGCGGTGCGCGGTGGGGCAGTGGAAGCGGGCCGCGCGGTGCTTTCGACGCTGCCCTCCGATGCGCTGCTGGAATAACGCGACGGCAGCGAGGGCCGCAGCGCGTCCGCGTCGATTATAGCAATCTGTGGGGGACGTCCTGGCACCGATGGCCGTAAGGCGCGAGCGCCCACGGCCTCTCCTGGGCGTTGACGCCCATTGCACCGCCTGCTCCATCAGCGCCCTGCGCCCCTGCAGCGCGCCACGCCGCGCCGGCCGCCTCACCCCCGCCCTTCTTCCACACCCACCGCCAGGCCAGCGCCAACGTGGACGCTGCCTACGCGTCTGTGTACCAGCTCGCACCCCTGGAGTGCCCGGACGTTGCGGTCATACACCGTCTGCAGGAATTCACAGGCGAGTTCACACCCAATCCTGGGGTGTGGGGCGTTTTGGGGCCCCCCAAGCCCTGGGGGACCCCAGGGGTCTAGGGTCTGGGGCGTGCGTGGGTGGAGTGTGGCTACGGAGGCATCATATATGGACATTTGAGGGATCTTGGCCACGGAACCAGGCCCATGGCGGCGACGAGAAAGCCAGGCTTGGTTTTGGCCAACCATGGCCGGGCCAATGTGGCTCATGGCAGGCGACCAGTCCACCTGGGTGCCGGCCGCCTCTCGCCTCCTTGCAGCCGCAGCAACACCAGCGGCTGCAGCTCTGCTCGCTCAAATTCCCGCATGTGCTTACGCTCTCGTCGTGTGACTGAATTGTTTTTGATTACAGAACCCCAAACACCACCCTGCGGCACCCAGATGCCAAATTTCTGGAGGAGGTGGGCAGCCGCGAGAGCGGGGACGGCGCCAGCGCAGCGGACGACCTGCGCGCGGGGCTGTGGGCGGCGTTCCAGAAGCTCGTCGACCAAACCAAGTGAGGCTTGGCGGTTTCGTGTGTGTGTGTGGGGGGGGGTGTTGAGCTAGGCGAAGGCTGTGATCCATTGAGGCTGGTCTTGAAAGAGGGTGCCCTGCTTGAGGGGTAAGACGAGGAGTCTGGTGGACCTGTCTGAGTGCGGTGAAGGGCCTATGAGCGGGCAAGGAGGGCGGGGCGCGAGGACTGGGCACGGGAGCGGGTGTTGCGTGAGCGCTGTTTTTGGGGCGGTTGAAGGCTGCAGGGTGAGATGAGGACATATGTGCGGGTTGACCAGGACGTTGCGAGGTTGTGCGAGGTTGCATTCCTGGGAAGCAGTGGGGGAAGGGGCGGCTCTGCCCCGTGGATACGATTTATTCTGGGAAGAGTTTGGTGTGGGAAGAGACTCGTTTGCCATGCAGGGTGCGTTCACAAGGGGACGGGGGTGGGGATTTTGGGAGGGGGGAGGGGCTGCCGCCGAGCGCTGTGGCTGACGAGGACACGGGGCTGTCGCCAAGCGGGATGCACGGCCATGCAGGCGGCGGCCAGGAATAGCAGGCGCGCCCAGGCGGCAAGGCGTGCCGGGTGGTCCAGGAAACCCCCATCTTGCAACCAGTTTTGGGAGTCTTGGGCACCCACCCCCTCCACCACTCACCCGGAGAGCATTGGTCATCCATCCCCTACACGACTCCGTCAGGCAGCCTTGGTCACCCACCCCCTGCACCACTTTCCCCCACCGCCCTCCCCTAATCAGGACGTCCAAGGCCACCCTGCGCCGCATCTTCATATTCACCTGCAACGAGGACCCCACGGAGGGCAACGCGCGCAGCAGGTGTGGGGCGCCGCCCCCACGGCCGGCCGCCGCCCGCGCCCCTGCGGCGCCCGCGGGCCGCCCTGGCCCTGCCTGATTGGCGAGGGCTCGGTCCCTCGCCTCTATTGCAACCCTTTCGACTACCCCTGGAGTCGTGCTCACTTCCGCGCTCCCTGCTCCCTGCATGTCGCCTGCTTGCCTTCTACCCATTTCACATGACTTGTGATGTCACTATCTACGTGCCCGGCAATCCTCCGCTCAGACACCTGGTTGGCCTTGCGCCGTCCCCTGAGCTTCCCTGCCTCTCCAAACGCGGAATCGCCTCCCCCATTTTCTTGCCCGTCATGCACTCCCTCACCCGCACGTCCGAACTTGTGTAACTTCCTTCCCCTCCCCTCCCCTTCCTCACCCCCATCAAACACACATTCACACACCACACACACACACACACACACACACACACACACACACACCCGAACCACCCCCAGGGAGATGCTGGACCAGCGGCTGGACCTGCTGCACAGCCGCCGCATAGGGCTGGACGTGTTCCCCCTGCTGGCGCTGTCGAGGCCCTGCGACATGACGCTCTTCTGGAACCACGCAGCACAGGTGATACGAGGGGGGGGATCGGGGTGATCGAGGGACTGAAAAACATGGAGGCATTCGGGGAAGTGAGGGGATTGGGGGACGTGTAGCTTTGGGGGATGTGGTTTTCCTGCAGGGCGGCCACGGCAGGGTCGAGCCGAGGGCTTTTGAGCTGGGAAGGCGCGCGCTCGGCCGGGCTGCTTGTGCTGGAGCAGGCTGAGGGTCGTAGGGACCACGATCAGCTGAGCAGGCGGGCAGCGGACGGCTGGCGGATCGCGGCCCGACTGACAGGCAGCTGCCAGCCCGCCCACGCCCCTCCCGTTCACCTGCCGACTCCCTTCCCCCCAGGTGGCCGAGGGGCGCGGCGACGAGAGCGACGGGGAGCGCGACGAAGACGACCCGTCAAGCGGCGGGGGCGGCAACGGCCTGGGTACGCTGCCGCCCTCGATCAGCCACAGGGACGTGGCGGCCTACCTGGCTTACGTGGCCGCGCGCACGCGCGCGTCGCGGCCCAACGCGCGGCTGGACCTGATTTTCCCGGGGCCGCCGGCGGCGGACGGGGGCCGGGAGCCGGCCGGGCTGAGGATCGGGGTCCAGGTGCGTCAATGCTGCCTGGGTTCGATGTTGACTCGAGGGGGGCCAGGTGCGAGGGCAGGGGCGTGCCCCTGCGTGCGGCCGGGGGGCGCCCCTCTGGGGCGGCCGGGGCCGCCTGGACGGCGGCGCTCGGCTTTTCAGGCGTGCTTTGGGGGGATGCGGACCCCGTTCCCTCGTTGGCCAACCACCTGGCTTGATGAATACCACCTTATTGTAGATGTATGCGCTGCTGCGGCCGGCCGGGAAGCCAAACAAAGTGCGGGTGAGTGCCCGGCCACCGCCCCGCCGCGCGCACCGCCTGGCGGCACAGCACAAACACGCGGCCCCGGGCCGTCGCAGCCCCTGGGTCGCAGGGACGCCGCCCGCCCTCTTCTGAGGGATTGCGCGCGCGCGTGGGGACCAGTCCACGGCGGCGTCCCTTGGGCACCCGCAGGAGCTCGCGCGCTGTCCCTCTTGCCCGTGATTGCGCACACCCCTGCGGGCCCTCTCTCCCCTCACGTAATCTTACTCCTCACGTAATGTCAATCCTCGCATATCCCCATCCCTCACGTCCGTTCACCGCTCACGTAATCTCACCCCTTTCGTAATGTTGCAGGTGACGCGTGACGCGTTCCAGGAGGTGACTGCCAACACGGCCTTCATGCACTCTGATGGCAACATCATGAGGTGGGGGG